TCGTAATTTTGCGATACTACACAAATAAAACGATACTATTTAACATGTCTGAGATGATTGACCGTGAACTGGGGAGTCATGAGCGGCGTCTACACTATGCTAAAACCTGGGTTTACCGTATCTACACTGTTGCTAAAACGCGGGTTTTTAGAGGTGATTGTAAAAGACGCGGGTTTTACAGACCCGGCCAATATTGCCGAGGGTTTTGGCTTCGTGCTAAAAACCGGCGGTTTAGCTCGAGCGCCCGTAAGTGTAGACAGAAAATGACAGAAAAACCCGCGTTTTAGCTATGTATCGCCACACCCAGTACTATGATGGGTGCGGATTCACGGAAGGTGGTTTTTTGACAGTGTAGACGGCTGCACCGCCGAAAACGGCGCGTTTTCCTAAAACGAGGGTTTTAGTCTATAGTGTAGACGCCGCTTTGGCCACAAGGCTGTAAAGTTGGCGCACGCAGCTTTCTTTACTAGCAGTGTAACATTCTTTTGATCGAACTCCTGTGGTTTCTAATTAAATATCTAGCCCTCAGCAGGATCGCATGGTCCATACTCCTGATTGTTTCCAGAAGAAATTTCCCCAGTTGAAATAGATAATATAGAACCGGAATCAATATCTCAATAACATTCACGATGGCGTCCTATTTTTAGTGTCAACCTCAAATAACGCTTTTCGGTGGATAGTTGCGCTAGAATCTGCATAACGCCAACAAAAACGCATAATTTACATCAACAATTTTTTTAATTTTCTTTGTCTCCTTGCTCAGACGTGAGGCAAGTAAAGGCGACGAGCATAAATGTAAATTAATTGTGTGTAGATTGTGGAAAAACGAGAGTGACTCATTTATAAAGTGAGATGTAGAGGTAGTAGATGAAACCTCATGAGGTTTATTATTCGTTAAAAATATCATATATCACATAAAATCCCGGCACCTTCGCCTGTAGCTCGTGCGCACGCTGCCGCGGGGGTCGAATCATAGTGGCTTCTATGGTGAAACGGGCAGCGTCTACGGTTTAATTTGAAATTTCCCGGCACCTTCGCCTGTAGCTCGTGCGCACGCTGCCGCGGGGGTCGAATTACAGTGGCTTCTAGGGTAAAACGGGCAGCGTCTACGTAATCCTAGACTAATTACACCCACAACATACGACCGTCAAAAGCCAACAATTCAAAATGGCCACCACAAACCATCAGCAAAGCCATAGCTTGCCAGTCTATTACACATATATATATGAGAAATTATCAAACTGTCTCTATATGAAACTTTTAAATGTTAGTTGGGTCTTAGCACACAATTATGCCGTGATGATATCTCTAAAATTTACCATATGTTATCATATGTTCTATCTTCACTGACAATGCCTGAAGCTGACCCTATGATTATACCAAGAATAAACAAGTTGGACATGAGAAATCTGAAGTTAGGGGAGCTGGCAGCAGTGCCAATGAACATTATCAGTGCCCAAAAAATCTATACCACGTTGGACCACCACTGGAAGATAATGTAAGTCAAGCAAAGAGTGTAGCATCAGCTCTAAAATCTGATGTAGCATGGCTAAGCACAGTGATAAAAAATGATCACGCAGGGTGGTCAGAACACGTCAAGCTTGGCAGAGCAGCGTGGATTAGCTAGACTACCAACTAAATATATATTCGGGCCACTGATAGATGCACCACCTGCTCACCCAGACACTGTCTTAACTACAATGTTGAACACAGAACCATTCATCCAACAACATGGAAGCGCATTTACTCATTTGGTTGTCGTCATGTAGCTTTACAAAGTCGCCATGCAGATCAGATGGGCGCGGCCAGATAGATGGCGAAACTTGGTAAGTGCGCCCAGGAGGTATGCACTTGTCGATGTCTTTTATCGGTTGCATTGGTATGGTCATGAAAGGGTCTGGGTTGGAAGACCTCCTCAAGTCTGCTCTCCGTGGTGTGAACAATATGTTGAACGAAAAAGCATGGCCTAAAGCCATGAGGGGGTTACGTATGGTAGTATACGTATGCTCACTTACAGGCTATGGTTTGGAAGACTGCCAAAGAACAAAGTCCACCAAACGTAGATATTTCAAACTATGGTTGGAAACTTCTTGAAGGCAAACCTCATCCCACTTTTGGAAATGCAACAGTTGCACCTCCAGAACTCATAACGGTCGTTGCTTGCAGTTGTGCCTCAAACAAGCCATGCCATACTGGAAAGTGCAGTTGTAAGGATATTGGATTGTCTTGCACATCATTCTGTAAATGTGAGGCTGATAACAGGTCTCACAATGAACACACTGCTAGACATGTTTCTAGTGATCAATCTGAGATGCATATTGACAGTGATAGTAGAAAGTTCAGGTAAACTTTCTATATCAGAAGATTCACACCTGAATTGAAGGTGAGATCTGTGTAAATGTATAAATGATATCTGATGTATAATGTATTAATATTAGAACATATTGTGAATTTTAGAGATATAATCACTACATAATTGTGTGCTAAGACCCAACTAACATTTAAAAGTTTCATATACAGACAATTTGAAATAGACATGTGTAATAGACCGGCAATCTATGGCTTCGCTGGTTTGTGGTGGCCATTTTAAATTCTTGGCTTCTGATGGTCGTATGTTGTGGTGTAATTAGTCTAGGATTGTGCATGCTTGTTTAATGAGCAAAGCAATACCAAATGTTTGAGGATTGACCGAATATTACAGAAGTTATTGCATGTTTAGCATGCCTACCCCCTTAATTTATACGCACTCAAATGGGAAAATATACGATCTGTATTTTTTAATATACGACCCGATTGCAACGTTCAGTCATTTGGCAACCTGACTACTGTGGTTGACACTAATTACATTCTGCAAATTGCCCAGTCGCAAATCAAAAACATCACTTCAGAACAACAACCTGACATACGTTGAATAAACGTTGTGTACCTATACGACGCGCCAATACTGTCGAGCCACGATTGGTTGTACGTTTACACAACTCGCCATTTTCGATAAAATCCGGCATCCCGGACTGCCACTTCTAACCACGGCCACACACGCAACGCCTGCGTGGCTTCGCCCCAGTTAATCACGCAGCAAACCTGATGGCGTAGGATGTACGTGACTCAGACCGCCCCCGGGCTTCCAGCGTGCTGATGAACGGACGGAAACTCTATGGAATCGTCCAGGTGTAGATCATTAGAGACGTCACGAGTTAACGGAGCACCAATAGCAGTTTCTTCGTCGACGGCTCTCTCCAGCTGTGTGCCTGCGCGCGGAACGGTCAGAGATGGAAAACAAGTCTGCTGTTAGTCTGTTACTCTGTATCCGCGTGAAGAGACGCGATTCACCGAATCCCGTAGAAAATAATAGTGAACGTTACTACTATGATCGAGATTCATGTCTCTGATCGTAGGTGGGTTTATTCTGGAAGTAATATACGCGAGTAGACCGAAACTACGAGAGTATAGAAATACTGCCCATAGCGAGGGCTATCGGTGCACAACAAGGTCGGCGTAATAGCGTATTCTAGTGTATTGTACGGCTACAGAGAGACAATTTTGTTTACATAAATCTAATATCACAATGAAGACACGTTATCAATAGCTGGTTATTCTGGCGTCACGTTAGTGTACTATTATTGTCTTTCATCTTTGGGCTCACGTAGGCCAGGCCGGCTTAATTGACTTAATTGGCCGCTAACTTCTACGCCATAGTTATAGGCCTACATCGTTCAAGTCAGGTCAGGTCGGCCAGGTCGATCTGCTACTAGTAACATGTAACCCAGTATTACCTGCCGCATGGTGGCTAAGGGATTGGCGCTCACAGATCCACTATAGCCATCGACAAGATTATGATGAGTACACAATGCAAAAGCACCAGGGTTAAAGCCCCTGATTCTTCGTCCATGTCTAATTTGCCAACGTTGGTTTCTGCCAACACGCATGACGGGTTGGTCCTCAAGCCTCTGGGACGGTCTAAGCCTGATAGTGACAATGGAGAGATGGACAGATTCGTTCGTCGCAAGTTACCTGTCATCATTAGTACTTTCAACACCCAGACGCTAAGATCTACTGCAAAGAAAGAAGAACTAGCGCATGAAGCACAACACTACAGCATTGACATTATCTGCCTGCAGGAACACCGCATTGAACACACCGATACGCTACTACAAGAGACTTCTACCAGTGGTTATACTTTAGTAACTTCTTCACCATGGAGGAACTCGCGGAAAATTGGTGGAGTAGGCTTCCTTATTTCGCCAAGAGCCCTGAAATCCTGTTACTCCATTGTATAATGATAATAATATCCTGTAAGCCATAATGAGCGTGCAATCAAGATAACTCTGCACGGCAACCCACTGACAACTGTACTGTGCTGTTATAGCCCACACAATGAATACCCAGAAGAGGATTTTGTTAAATTCCACCAGGAACTTTCAACCATAGTCTACGAAATTCCAGCTCACAATATACTAATCTTAGGTGGGGATCTCAATGAGTCAATGCCCAACTAGGGTCTTCATGCGCTCTATTCACATGTACAGACGAAACCAATAAAAATGGGAGGCGCATGAAAGATTTTATGGAGCAACACAACCTTGTTGCCACCAACACAAGGTTTCAGAACCCCAAGAGTAAGCGTTGGACACATCGCCATCCAAATGGTCAGCTTGTTCAGCTAGATCACATCCTGGTAAGAAAGAAGCAGTTCATAACAGATTCTGCACCCTGCGTGAGGAACTCGAAGATCAAAACAATATCAGCTGTGTATGATGCTTTGATCACTGCCAACAAGGAGACTGCTCTTGAAATGCTTCCCAAGAAAAGAAAGAATGATGTCGCAATAGCCACCAGCGGCAAAGTCAATACAGCCAGAGAAACCTTGAAGAAAGCTTCAATGAAGCACAAAGCTAGACGCACCAGAAATACTCGCAGGGTCCTTGAATCTGCTAAGGCTGATTTTGGTCAAGCTTACACCGAAGTCTTGGACGCCAATGTGAAGTCCAAGACTGGCGAGCTTAACAATTTACACCAAGAAAATATACATGCAGCAGCTTGGCAGGTCCTGAGAGAGATCACCAATCAGAAGTCTTCTTCAGTAATCCGTATCAAAGGCAACACTATGGAGGAACGACTAGATTGCTGGTTTAAACATTTTAGCAGTCTTCTAGGCAGACCTGAGCACAATGCCAGTACTGACGATCCTTTCTTCAATCACAAAGTTGCAGACATTCTCCCCATTAAGACCGGTTTGTTCTCCATAGAAGAACTCCAGAAATGCATGAGAAAACTCAAACGATCCAAGACACCTGGCCCCGACAACATTCCAGCCGTCGTCTGGAAGAGTCCATTCTCTCATCAACAGCCGCTAGACCTCTGCAATAAAACCTATAGAGGCAACAAACCAGAGACCTTCTCCAAACCTGCTATCATCCCTCTGCATAAAAAAGGTGACCTCTCTCTCTTCCATCTAATTACAGAGGTATAACACATAACCTCTAGCTTCAAAGATCTACAATTCTATGCTGCTTAACAGGATTACCCCTCATCTCAATCCTATTCTCCGCCGCAACCAGAACGGTTTCCGGAAAGGCAGAGCTACAACACCTCAGATTCTCGCCCTAAGGAGGATCATTGAAGAACTAAAGATCTCTAAGCAGAAAGCAAGCATAGTATTTGTGGATTTCTCCAAGGCCTTTGACAGCGTCAACAGGAAGGTCATGCTTCATATTCTTCTGAATTATGGCATTCCAGAAGAAACAGTGCAAGCAATTGTCATAATATACAACAACCCCTCTAGTTTTGTTCAAAGTATGGATGGTCCAACCAAAGAATTTCTCACAACAGCAGGCATCCTCGAAGGGGACACCCTTGCTCCTTATCTCTTTGTCATAGTTGTGGATTACATTCTCAGACAGTCAGTAGAGACCATGAAAGAGAAAGGAATTTACATGAAGTCATGAAGATCAAGTCGTGACAGAGATAGGAATCTCACAGGCCTTGACTATGCAGATGACATCGTCCTAACAGCGACACTTTTGAAGGATGCTCAAGACCTGCTAACTTGTCTCGAGGATGCTTCAGCAAAGGTCGGTCTGTTTCTTAATGCCAAGAAAACAGAATACATGACAGTAAATAAGAATGCTGATCATCTACTAATCTTTTCCAACGATGGATCACAGCTAAATGAAGGTAAAGACTTTAAATATCTAGGGCCCTATCAGTATGTAGCTGACTCCAAGAAGGACTTCATGGCACGCAAAAGTCAAGCCTGGAATGCAAGTAATAGGCTGCCGCACATCTGACAGTCTAACATTCCAAGATCTACCAAATTTGCATTCTTTAGAGCTTGCGTAGAGAACATACTCTTATATGGATCAGAGACGTGGACCATGGAGAAGGCCCTGCAGGACCGGCTTGATGGCACATATACTCGGCTTCTTATGAGAGTTCAGAACATCAGCTAGAGGGAACACAAAACAAAAGCAGAGATCTATGGAGACATACCACCCATTTCTACCATTCTAGCTCGTCGCAGAACACGTTTTGCCGATCACTGTTTTCGTGCCAAAGACCAAAATTATATCTGATGTGATCTGCTTGAGACTGCCTAGCCAAACCAGAGGAAGAAGGCCACTGAACTACATTGACTGCATTGCAAAGGATATCCAGCATGACATAGCGGGCATGCAGACACTGATGATAGACAAAGATTCATGGCGTGGCACTCTGAACTCCGCTGAGTAGTAGTAGTAGGATACATCGTATCTGCGGCTACCGGCTCTATCTTATTTGGAGACTACATCACCCATCTACAACCTCTACATCTCTACTACTTCGGCATCTCTCATACCTGCGGCATCTCACAAGATGATTGCTGAGGCTTCATACAGTTCTTCGAAATACAACATTATTATCATTTTATCAAAATTTATTTTAAATCCACAGAATTCGATCAGTCGAGTAGAAATCTAAAAACTACAACATTACGTCGAAATAAGTGGTTTACTATATCTTGCCAGGTAGGCCGTAAAACACGTATTTGGAGATGACAATACAAAATTGAGTTTAATTCAAAGAAGAAATATCAGCTAAAAAATATCTACGAAATTACACAACTCACGAGTGTCAGTGATTGGTCTGAAACACGTATCACCGTGAATACGCGGACAAATCACGTCACTGATATATAATGAGGATATATTCCTTATATTATATATAAAGCAGCAAATGATTATTACTACTATTATTATTATTATTATTATTATTCTATCTAAAGTGGATCACGGCATTAGCCGGTGGCTTCTGGGTTGGCCGTGTCCCAACCTAGGACATAGGGATTCAATCCAGAATTTTTCGCAGGATGTGTGCTGTTCCCAGTAGTGTGATTATTATTATTATTATTATTATTATTATTATTATTATTATTATTGTCATTATCATTATCATCATGATTATTTCTCTTGTTGCATTTTCTTCTTCTGACGGATTTCAATTAGTATACCTTGGTTCTTATTTTCCGATTTTCGTGCTCCTTCCCCGTTTTGTATCCAGCGCCCCTTGTGTTATTAGCAAGGTTGACAGTTGCTTATTATGTAGTACGGTGTTTTAGCTAAGAGGAGAGAGAGGGGGGAATTTGGCACATTAACCATGAAATTGTTCAGGGACGGCCGGCGATGAGCCCAGAAGACATTAGCTGCATACTTAAGAGTAGACATAAATTAACGCGGACAGAAGGCATTTCAAAATGGTACAAACACAATAACTTCAACAAGAATGCAACTGAGGTTATCAATTACAGCCATCATTAAGGGGGTACCATCGGACGGTAGTCGCGACCGGTCGTTGTACCCACGACCTGCGACACAAACGAGTAAACAGGTCGGACGATGATGCGGACGGATAAAAGACAAGGGTTTTGGGGACAACGGGAGAGACGTCGGCTACATCTGACTGGTATGTGTACACTGTTTTTATCCGTGTTTATAATAAAACTATAGTTGTCACCGTTTATACCACTGTTACGTTCTACTGTCTACGAACCACAAGTTCTACTCTACAATTACATTCACTTACTTTTCCAAAAAATTTCACCATTTCGTGAGGCTACGACTGCACATAAAATCATCAAAATCTAAAGGTCACGATGCTGGCGATCCGTAGAATAGACCGATTCACAGCGTCACAACATAGGGCAGAGCATCACTACGTCACTACAAACAAGGATAGATGCTGTAGTCACCTCAACCTGTAAAAATCATCCCAA